TGTCCTGATCGGCTATTGCTAGGACTGGGGATTGTATCAAGAGCTGCTTGATACCCTCAAAGGAGCGTTGACATTCATTCCATAACCACCTCTCGTTCTTTTTCAACAAACGAGAGCGGTGCACAGTCATCTCGGCGTAATTGCGTGAACACTTGTTCAAATACGCCGCTAGCCCAAGGAATTTTCGGAGACCTTTGACATCGACTGGCACAGGCCAGTCGGTGATCGCCTTGATCTTTTCGGGATCAGGACGTACACCGTTCTTACCAACGATGCACCCAAGAAGCGGTATTTCGCTTGCTGCAAATATACACTTCTTGAGGTTAGCATACAATTGATGCTTTCGCATGATTGTAAGAACCTGTCGGACGTGGTACCTGTGAACCTCAACGTCCGACTTTCCATCCATAGCTCGACTATGAATGAATACGTCATCGAAATAACTCGGTGCGAATTCTCGTACTGGTCTCAACAGATGTGATACACATCTGTTGAACGTGGCAGGGGCATTACTAAGCCCTTGTGGCATTACTAGCCATTCCCAGAGCATGCCGCTAGGCGTGCTAACTGCGGTATAGGGTATATCCCGTTCTCGCATAAGGATTTGATAGAAGCCATCCATCAAATCCATGGACGAAAAGATGGTACTCTTTGACATACCATCAATGATTACGTCCTTCCTCGGTATCGGCGTCTGAGCCGGTACCGTTGCAGCGTTCAACTTGTTGAATGCGTGCACTATCCGCCACCCTCCTGTCGCTTTTCGCACACAGAAGGTCGGAGAGCTATGTGGGGAAGTTGATTCCCTCACATGGCCTGCAGCTAAACGTTTGGCAAAGAACTTGTCAATCGCAAGTACTTGTTCACGAGGCAGTGGCCACTGCTTCATGACACAGTACTTCGAGCCCGGCTTAATCTCGACCTCGTGTCAAGTACCTTTATCCTTCGGTAACTCGCACGGAACAGTTTCAAGGAATACATCGTTGAATTCAACCAAATCTTCATAGAGAGTATCTGTCTTGAGCGACTCCCACGATTGGGAGTCATATCGCTCAACTCGTGTCTTTTCGTCAAGGATACTCTCGTCCATCGATGAACTACTGAGAACTTTCTCGTTCTCAGTAAAAACTGTTGCTGACCTTATGTCGGCTACACACTCGTCGTCAGCGACGAGTACGCAGATCTGCTTGACTTTGCTACTACGCAGATCACGCAAGAACCTTTTATGTTCGAGCGTTGGCAACTGAGTGATCTCCGAAGTTAACTTCGGAGGCGCAATCAGATCAAGTGTATAAGCACCTACACTTGATACGTTATTGACTATGACATTCAATGTCTCTGTCATTTCCTGGGGACTTATTCCCTCAGGCTTCGAAGGACTTATTCCTTCGGCTTCCCGGGGACTTATTCCCTCGGGTTTCGGGGAACTTATTTCCACCGTATTTGTATTATCGGGACTTATTCCCTTTACTTCCTCTAGCTGAAGTTGCGCAACCACAGCGAGATCCTCTACGAAAGACTCTCCAGTCGATCTAGGATTATCGTTTCGCTTAACCTGAGCGATCGATTGTTCATCTTCGAGATGTTCCCCGCTAGGGATACATCTTTGTCCCGGTCCACGCGACTTATTCGAGTGGTGGACCTTCGGCGCAGCCTGTGTTTCCTCACAGCCGCCGGAATCTTGCTCCGAAGTGTAACTGTTTGTTACACTAATATTTTGTGCAGTCGTACTAACGACCGTACCACAAGTGAGGCCATCGCACTCACTCGTAGTACATCCACACGCTTGTGGACGCTCCAAAACGTTCATCAGATGGCCATCTGATGAACAAGCGGCAGGCATCGTTACTGTAAGATGTTGCCAGTTTACCCGTGGTTCGTATCTTCTGAGCCACGGTATCCCAAGGATGACATCAAATTTGTCATCCAAACCCAATACGATAAAGTCATCGTCGTATTGGGTATCTTCTAGCGTATAGTGGATCTTCACTATACGCTTCATGAAGGTTACGGATGCGCCTGTCGCAAGACGTACCGTCATCCTCGTAGGAGGTGTGTCACATTCACTAAACTTGAAGTGACCATCTTCTAGTGATTGGCGTTGCAAAAAATTGTTAGACGCCCCACAATCGACTAGAGCTCGAAGGGACAACTTGTTTGTCACTTCGAGTTTCAAGGTAATGAGTGAGTCCTCGTTACCTAGAGCAGCAACGCACAATGTTTGTGTGTTGGGAGCAGCCTTCGTCAAGAGGCCTACAAATTCTCTTGACGTTGCTGGATCAGTAGGGTGCTGCGCACCTACTGATCCTGTCCGTTTTTTGACGGTCCATCCCGTTGTTGCGTCTTTGCACCAACAGCGGACCCGCGTCCCTGCCCCTTTCTCATGGGTGGACGGTCACTACGCCCAGTGTTGCGAGACATTGGACGAGGGGCACTACACTCGTAAGCGTAGTGTCCTGTCTTTTGACATCTGTTGCATCTCTGCAACTTCTTGTAGCCTGTAGATCGAGCCTTCTCGCTCTCTACATAACAGAGTTCCATCGGCTCTGGACCTCCGTTGTCATATCGTCTCGGTTGACGATATGATGTCGAGCTGGCGCGAGCCTGTCTCAGACTGAAGTCTTCCTGCTCCGCAATGGAAATGGCTTGTTCTAGTGAATCCAATTCAAGCCGGAACAGGTGAGTCTTGACGGGACCATCCGCAAGACCCTGCATGAACACCGAAACCAGCGTGTGTTCATCAACCGGGTTGGAACTTATACAACTCGTGAGATGTCGTATATGTTGGGCGTAAGCGTGCACATCACGCTGTGTGAGCTTCAAGAGTTCGGTTCGAGCCCTGAACTCAGCTCTAGGCGGTTCAAACGTTTGTCTGAGCCGCGACTTGAAGACTTCTAACGACCCGAACGCATATGGGTCGTGCAACTTGAGCCTCAGTGCCCAAGTCTTGGCACGTCCTGCCAGATTTGACTGGGCAAATGCAACTTGCATTTCCCCATAGTCGATGCGACGCGCCCTTATGGCGTCGTCTAATTCGACGAACCGTCTCAAGAGGGAGTCCTCTTCGACTCCCCTATACTTGGAGATGTCAATCTTCAAGGTCGCGGGTCGACGCGAATGCTTCGACCCACCAGCAGCAGCCTGCTGCTGTCTCAACAGTTCAAACTGTTGAGCACCCTGTTCTCTCAACAACTCTGCTTGTTGAGAACCTTGTTGGTGAAGCAAGGCTACTTTCTCGCGTTCAGCGTCAAGTTCATTTTGAATGAACTTGGCGATAGTAGCATGTTGGGCATCTCTATTGAGATCCTCTAGCATGACGCTAACAGCATGGATGCCCTTGGTTGAACCCATACGTTCAACCGCATCCCATTCGACATTGCTCGAATGGGAGTAGCCGTCACGCGTAGCGTGAAAGCTTTAGTCATCTTCATCATCCAACATATTCATGTTGGATGTGAACGTGGTCCTTGGACGGACTACGAAGTGCTACCAGGTGTAACGGGGCACTCTGAAGCTTGTACTGATGACAGTACAAGCTACTTATTCTGATGACAGAATAATGCGGTGCCTCGTAACTTCACGTACACTCGTACGTGCAGAGGAAGACAGTAAGAAGAAGCGAGTACTCGGTTAGAGTAAAAAGTAGAACTATATTTAAAATAGTTAATGTCTGCAATAAATCACTATTTATCTTCATCTAACTATGTCTAAATACAAATGTGTAAATCAGTTATCTGCTCACCACTCATTGCGTGCGTCTGTCGTGGCGCGTCTTCGTTGGTTGATATAATGGCCTATATCAACCAATCAGGAACCACTCGTAAGTGCTACAGAATATTTGTCCTCATGACAATATTCTGAGAATATAACTCTTATAGTTTATTCTATTAACAATTTCTTATAAATTGTTATGTAACGATTCACCCCGTTACAGATATAATGACCTATATCAACCAATTAGGAACTACTCGTAAGTGCTGCAGAATATTTGTCCTTATGACAATATCCTGAGAATATAACTCTTATAGATAAATTCTATTGACAATTTCTTATTAATTGTTATGTAACGGGTCACCCCGTTACACAGCGCATTTATTCTCTGCAGGGATGCCCCCGAGAATACCAGCACCTTCATTTGTTTTATGACTGGGTTCTGTCCATTATTTGGTGCATCCAGTGAACGCAATGTTGTGTTCGATGGTCCCGCGGTAACGGATCGAGCGCCATTTGGTCGATCCACTCGATTGTGCATGGTTCTTAAGTGCTTTGTTTGTATTAATGCAGTGTGGTAACCATACCACGTCAGCGCCAATTATTTTTCCAGACCGAGTGGCACTTCTGGTGATCTGCCGGTGTTGTGCGTACCGAAATGCACTCGTTCGGTCAGGTGGACCTTCGCTTACCTGTGTCGAGTGCTCTCGTTTTCTCTTCGCAGAGACATTTCGGCAGACATGAAGAGAATCGATACATGAGATCATGTACTGCGCGTTTCCTAAATGTCCCAAATTCTTGGCGAACAACAGGTGTGCCGATTCCCGATGTCATTTAATACACACTCTCGTAAATGCGCTGTAATGGTGGTTTAAGCACGGTGTAAAGCAACGATAATTCATGCCGGTCGGGCTGTTGACACGATCGGGGCTAAGGAGTGTGCTCTGGACTCCAAAGCGAGAACGAGTGTGTACTCTGGTTAGTAAGGTGCACTCAAGCTTGAGGGGTCTGGCTGACCGTCAGGCCAAAAATGAGTGAGAGCGCGCAGCCCTGTCGATTAATCGGCATTTGCGTTAATGACAGAGTGCTACGTATCCGCGAAGGTCATGTCGTTGTCAAGTGACGTAGGAAAGCACGGCCTGTTGTGAATCGGATCGAGCAAGTGAAATACGAAGAGCAAAGCAGCATTTCTCGTGTATTCTTGCTTCGCCGTTTTGCATTCATCCGTCGGACCAGACACCTCGGAACCAAGGCGACTAACTCCGCTCCAACGAATATGCAATTACTGCTTAGCAGTTCGGATGAGGCTGTTCGTTTGAGCAAGCACCGTCAGAAACTTTCGTGAGCTGTAAACCGGGATTGTTGCAGCTTACGACGCCCAGCTCACACTCGTTGCCATACGTGACGTCGTTGGAGCCGCAAACAGGAGCGAACACGGCAGGACAAACATCTGGACAGGATGCCACGTCTTTGCCGGGCTTCGTCATGGTTTCGTTCGACTTGGAGCTGTCCTCGATAGCCTCACACGCCCCTTCGTAAGCCAAAGTGATGCTGGGATCGTAGCATGCGACAGCACGCAACATACAAATGTTGTTGTGCGTGACGCCGTCCGAGCCACACACGGGCTCGTACGTCTGGACGCACAAGTCCGGGCAGTTGCGGAAGTCATCCCCTGGACCAGAAGACGAGGGGTCCGGGCACTGTCCTTCTGACGTCTGCGTGATGGTCCCTTTGCTCTCACAACGAGCAATTCCAAGCTGACAACTGTTTGCGTAAGTGACACCGTCTGATCCACACACAGGTGCGAACATCATCGGACACGCATCGGCGCAATCTGCAGGCAGCGAGATGACCGCCTCACTTTTTCCACCCGTTGGCTTCGAAGGCAGCTGAGCAACTACTGGCTCCGACTCGATACGGACGCACTCGCCTTCGGAGGCGACGGTGATGTCCTCTCCCGGATTGTCGCAGTTTGCGAGAGTCAGAAGACATCGATTCGGGTACGTCACGTTGTTGGAACCGCAGATACGATCACCCGTGAAGGCGCATCTGATAGCGCATCTTGGATCAACCTCTTCTTGTCCGTGAGTATGCGCAATTGCGGCAGCAAGCAGGAGGCAAACGGAGAGCTTCATCTTGAACACGGTTTCGACTCGAGGAGTTTGTCGGAAGTTGTAGAATGGTAAAGCCAGGACCGCGTCGCAAAGGACGCGAGAAGAATCGCGATCGGGTTGATACCGGGGACCACTTTACATCGACAGACTGACCACGTACGTCACTACAGCGACTACTGTCAGCCTCTGAACAGGTGATTTCGCCTATTTTTCACCTTCTTGCTGAACAACGGGGAGACACTCGTTGACGTCGAGTCGAGTGAGTAACAAGGAGCTGTTGGGTTCAAGCACGGTCCCTTGTGCTCTACGGTTCGAGTCGAGCTCAACGAATGTCTCTACGGATTGGTGCTGGGCTTACACCTCTCGCTCTCTCTCCTCTGTCTTCCCTTTTGATCACGGATAAGGGACGGACAGTGCCTACTTATCCTCCGAGAACCAGGAGCGTTACGGGACAAGAAACGATACACATCGGTGCGAAACGCCTCGTGCATGAAACCGGATGGCGTTTCCAGAATGGTCGTTTCGTGGCGTACATGGAAATGTTCATTCGTGCCAGATCAATAACTGCATTGTACGTCCTGTATGAAGCAACAACTTGAAGCTGAGGTGGACGCGAGAGATGCACGAGGACGTCAGCGAAAGAGAGATCCGAAAACAGTCAAGAGCGTTGTACAGGACTGGCGACTGGAAGTGCGAGCGTCAGGGAGCAAAACTTTGCAAAGTTAGAGCGACCTGCAACTGCTTTACATATCTTGGCATCGTTTTCCACGCGAAATAGGAAGCAGAGTTGGTCCTGACAACAGAGTTCGCAACCACCGATGTCAGTCGCAATATCGTCAGCATGGATGTATCCGACGGCGCAGGGACTTAGGCGACAATGTTCGTGCGTTGAATCAACAGCCGATGGCAGTCGATCAAGCTTCACCGCATTCCTCTGACGATCCTGCTGGGAATGCTGTCGTCCGGGTATAAAGTGTCTCTGCACTGGACCATCTTTTCGATGTCGATGGCATTTATTACTGAGGCACATTTGTCTGCCTTCTAGAGCAACTAAAGCTTGCAATACTACGGCACGGCGGTCATCAGAACCAATCATCTTATGGTGATCAGTGCTTGAAGTTGTTACTCGTGGCAAAGCGGATGCTGCTCAATTGCCAGCCAGCAGAAGCAACGCTACGCACGTGCGAAGTCAGAGGCTTTGATGACCAACTTCTATACTTGACCACTCTATTCCGTGCGTGACTCGAACAGATTGTTTTGAGCAACCGGATGCTCTGCTCGCACACGTCGCAGAGATCATGTTGTCCACGCCATCCTCGCAGCCATTCATTTTGCCAAAGCTCCACGCCAATGAGGCAGGCAGTAGTCTCCACTTCCTTGTCATTCATTACGCGATCGCGATGGTGGCGTTCTGGGCTTGTGGTGTGACTGAGACCAAGGCAGTGGCCGTAGATGTACCTGAGGGCTTTGTGCTCAATGTGTGCAACGCCATTTGCGATGCGTCTAGCACAAACGCGCAAATGGTGTTAGGTCTGGAGACGCAGCAGCTGGACGGCAAAGTCTGGAAGGGTGTCGCTGCGCACTTGGGAGCTACGCAGCCGCTGCAGATAAAGCTGGATCTGGTCTTTGGCCGCAAGGTGAAGTTCTACCTGGCCAAAGGTGCGGGTATTGTGAACCTTACCGGATACTTCCAGCCTGGACCTACTTCTGCCTATTTGATTGGAGACGAAGCCGAGAAATCTGCTCAAATTGAGGCAACCAGCGCGCAAAAAGGCAAGAAACGTGCTCGTGGGAAGCAGCAACCTGAGGCCACAGGACAAGAAGAGGTGCGTGTTGTTGATGGACGCGAAAGTAGAGTAGTGTGTGTGTGCCTTCGTCAACTCCCATTTGTAAATTACGTCCGTGGTCCTGTTTCGATACCACGGAAGTCCAGACCAGATGGGATAGGAATGTGTATGCTTCATGACGAGAGTTCTTCTCGTTTTATACTCGCGCATGGTCCTTAAGGCTGTCTCCGTGCAGACGTAGGGCGGGTGTTGTGGCTGCCTCATTATGCTAGTACGACTGCGATCCAGTGCTTTTGCTTTTTGTGCCTTTCACATTTGCACCTATCTGCTGTCGGAAACGATGGCGGGAGGAGCGAGTGGAAGTGTACGCTGAAAGTGAAGATGTTGGGGACTGTTTGCATTGGCGAGGTGGCACTCTAAGCAACACCTGCCTATTGCGTCTGTAAAAGGCTCTTGTGGTCTCTCCTGTCGGAATCATACGAGTCATAACTGTGCAACATCTCTACAAGTGCATGTTTGCATGTGTGTCAATAAGACTAGAATGTGCTGATTATTTGCATGTGTATGTGTGCTACAGGTTCCAGTGCCATCCAGTGATTCGAAGGACATGTCCAAGAAAAACGCCAAGACCGCGGACGCAAAACCTTCGACCACACAGCAGCGTCAGAAGAAGGTGGACGACGTTTCTGAGACTGCATCTGTGAACCCGGTGCCACCAGTGGATACGGCACAGAAGAAGAAGCGCAAGAAAAAACACAAGAAAGTTGTTGCGAATGGCGAGAACTCTGTAAACAGCGTATAATATCTGCCGGTGGTGAGCCATTTACTTCGATGTACTTCATGCGTGATATGTTTCCAATCGGGTGAGGTGCTGCACAGCGTCTACTTTCGAGCCTGTTCCTGATCGTTGGTCAAGATGGCAACGCAGATCACGAAAACGACGGAGATGATCCACGAGATATTGAACATCCTGAACGCGTGCTTGTTGCCTCGGCCAATGCACTTGCCCATCCACGGACAATGGTGGTCGTGACCGGCGATGCACACGCCGCAGTCCTCACAATGATCCGTCGAGTCGTCCTGTGGAATGCTGCAGGTATCGCAAAACCGACGTCGTGTCGGACGTAAGCGACGATCGCGTGCATAACGGACGACCGGCGACTCCAATGCAATTGTCGCGATTGCCACGCCTTTAGCTTCCAGCTCAGCCGCCTCCCTCTCGTCTCGAGTCATCGACTCGTCTTTCTTGTGCGGTAGTGGCTGCACAATGCCTGGATCCGAGCATGACGTCTGGAATAGGTAGTACAGTGTCGTCCCGCACAATCCCAACGTCATTAGTGAGTAGTACCATGGCATCGTAGCCACATGCTGGAAGAGGAACATGCCCGTACACAACAGCACGACACTTAACGTGACCAAGACTCCGATCCAGTGCGGCCCCACAACCAAGAGCGTCGTCCTTATTCCATCGCCATCGCTTCGTTCATACAGGATCTTCAACAGCCACACAAAACCCAGAAAACGCCACGTGAGACTTGCAATGATCGGATACTTTCGTCTCGAATCATATGGTACTGCTATCACCACCGGAGCCAACCACTTACGTAGCCATGTCCAAGTCGCTTGAACTTGCAGCAGCAGAGACAGGCAAGCGAATCGGAGCTGTTCACTGGCTGCGCGAGAACAGGTAGCAGCGCTTCTTGGTCGTAATCTCCAGGCTGAATTTGCTCCATGTGGTCCTGCGAATTCTGCACTGTAGCGTCGCGTCGCAAAATGAACGGACAGCGATATTGCAGTTGCTGGACCACAGCGAGAAGATGGGAAGTGACGTCCGGACTGGTAGAGTCCGTGTACACGCGAGCGTATCCACCTCACGAAAGCATCTATTGCTCAATTCTACAGGTCTCCATCGGCGCTTCGCAACAGCATCCACGACTGACAACACTTCTTCTTCTTCTCTAGCTACGACTCCATACTCTATGAAATGGTGCAGCGGCTCCATGCTGACGCCTCCTCTTCTTCCTCGACAACGGCTTTCACATCCGCACCATTCAGATTTGATGACAAGGCGCAGGCAGCCGAAATCTTCTCGAAAAATTTGCGGTCAGCCTCCGCTTTTTCCACTTTTGCCTTCTCGGCTTCAGCAGCCACGTGCTCATCGTACGTGGTGACGGCCACCCCAAACTCAGCCTTGACTTCGTCGTCCATTTCTTCCACCGGCTCTGTCAGGATCACGAACGCGTCCTGGTCGCTCTCCCGCACGATGCGCTGCACTTTAGACATCTTGAACACGTCTTCCATGCGCACGTGCTGAATCCGACGTTTCGTGGTGCTGGTGACACGGTATACACGGGCGCGGTCGATTGTCTGCAAAACGTTGTCCAGATCCAAGTAGCTGCCGTCCGAGATCATCAGGTTCAGCTGGTTCTTGTAGCTCGTCAGTTCTTTGAGGCGCACATCAAGGTGAGCAGAACAACCTGCTACGGGCACCGACTGGTCAAGCAGCTCACCATCGGCATCATGAGCCAGCAGGCCCAGGAAACAGACAGCTGTCATGAACGCGTCAAATCCTGCCTCATGACACAACGCCCTTTCACTGCCGTCAGTCTCCGTCTTGAGTGCTTCACGGTACGTGTCGAAACGCTTGCCACAAGGAATCAAGCTCGCGGGATCTGGCTTGACGTTCTCGCGTATGTACTCAAATAGCGACGAGAGACTGGTTGATTTCAGCTTCTCGCCAAGAGGAGAACGCAGCGCGACATGCTTCGTATCGTAAACAGTCGGAAACAGCTCAAGCAACTGCGTCTTGAACTCGGCCAGCGTCTCAGGAAGCGGCTTGTAAAACTGGTGAAAGACGTAGACGAAATCCAGCAGTGCATTGTGTCCGATCACAGGCAATTTGCTCTCACTCAGAGCTTCAATGACTTTTGAAAAACCAACCGCCTCGTCCATCTCACGCTGCATCTCCTTGACCTTGGCAGCAATGCGCTCTTCTTTGACTTTCTTTGACAGATACGACACTTCGACGCCACCCGTGGCACGCTCTGAGTACAAATAGCTTGCTTTGGCCCGTGCCGTCTCATGCACAATCATCGAGTAGAACGAGTTTCGCGTCGGCACCAGGAGCTTCTCGCCCTTCTTGGCTCCTTGCGCAATCCACTGCGTCAGCTGCTTGTCGACAAGTTTCTGGAACGCTAGGCCATCGCTCGAGAGACGCAAGTTCTTGTTCACTTTCGTGAGTCCGTCAATCCGACCCTTGAGCTGTTTCTGCATCAGTGGCAGCTTAGCCAGTTTAACAAAAGCAATGCCGTCGTGGATAAACTTGTTAAAGTCAAAGCCGTGCTCCGATAGGAACTGGAGACTCGAGGCTTGGCATAAAAAGCGCTCGTCCAGAGCCCCATAAGGACGTGGAAACACGTAAAAGTTCCACGTCTTGACCTGCACGAGCTGCTCGTCGTCCACATGAACCGTCGAGAGTCCAAATTGCGTGATGAGGAAGCTCTCCCCTGCCCGCTTGACCTTCTGATAGCGCTCTTCCAGCGTGTCGAGGTACTGCTCCCGTTCGACTTCACTGGGCGAGAGACCCGTGAACTCTGTGTCAATGGCTACAAAACGACACGACGGTGAGGCCAAGTCGTGCTGGAGATCACGTAAACACGATGCAAAGTTGTGCCGCGTGACGTTCATTTCGACCAATGATTGGTCGTTGCTTGATAAGGGGATGGGTTCAGGGGCTTGTGCTGCTGCAACTGAAGCTACAGGAGCTGCTGAAAAAGCTGCAGATAAAGGAGTTGAAGCTGGTGAGGAAGCTGAAGCTCTGCGCAGGAGAGGGATGGAGACACGAGCGCAGGAGAGCGGCGACGAGCGGTAGAGCGACGACTTGGCGCCGACTCGTAGCATCCAAACGATGCTCAAAATGGCGTGGAACACACGAAGTTACAGTGGATTGAGATTGGTGTGGACCACGTGGATGGAAACGATGTGGACCACGTGGTTTATCTTTTATCCTGATAAAATCGGCACTGAGTCGGCAAGATGAAAGTCGATGTCACTCGTGTCAAGGACCTGACGGATGCTGAAGTGTACGAGATGGTGTACCAGCTGAAACAGTGCAACGAGAGTGATCCAGCGGAGACGAGGCGGTTACTTCAAGATCATCCGGAACTTGCTCGTGCTGTTGCCCAGATGCAGCTTCGTCTTGGCATGATCAAAGAGGGCACTGCAGCTGGCTCGGCATCGACGAATACGATTGTAAGTTGTAATAGATGTTATCGTCGGGTGTTGGAAACTTAGGATAAAATCTAGATAGTCTCTACTATTTTCTGGTGGTGTGTACTACGTGTGGTACTATTACTATCTAAACCACTACTGCAACTATTTGTATCACTGTGTTCTAACTACTGCTACAACTATTTGTGCAACTGTGTACTAATTACTACTACTACTTCTACTGCAATCACTACTGGAACTTTGTGTGCTATTGCAACAGGGCGTGTCGAACGACCTGATGGAAAAGCTGGACTCGGAGCAGCAAGAGCTGCTGGAGCAAGTGCAGAATTTGGCGCCCGAGATCATTCAGTCCCTGCCACCTGAAGAGCGTCGACAGATCATGGAGTTGCGTGAAGCCATGGGACTCCCGCCACTGTGAGTGGAGACTACATTCTAAACAGCCAGCACAGAGGGTCCAGCAAGCAAGAGCAGCTGAAAGGAGCACAAAACGTGAGCGATCCGTCGTTTGTTTCTCCTGCGCCCTCTCTCGACATCTAGAATTTGAAATCCTTGAGCTTCTTGCTCTTCTCCGTCTTGGCCTTCTTTTTCTTCGAAGCTGCTTCGTCCTCGTCACCTGCAGGATCAGCAGGTGCCAGCGCAGACGTATCTTCGAAACGACGACGAACTCGACCAGTCTCCGAGCGCGTGCCACTGGATTCCTCGGCTGCACTTGGGAGCACATAGGCATGAGCCGAACCGTAAAGCGACGTGCCCACGGATGTCTAGTAGGGCAGAACAGAGCACTGGCGTTACAGGGTAGCACAGAGTGTAGAGCAAGGAGTGTACCACGCACATCTTTTTGCTCCAAAACCGTGTAGAGCTGCTGAGGGGTATCGGGTGTTTCTGTTCCTCTGCTCCAAAACATACAAACCACCACGTTAACATCACCACGTGACTACGCATGGACCAACGAAAAGGTTTGAGCTCGTGCGACCTGACGTACCGAATTCCCTTACGCAGATCCACGACACCAGGCGTGGTAAGACCCGATGCAACACTCGAAATGCCGTCCACAAGCGGCGTTTCCACACCAGTCGCATCAAGACCTTCCACTCCAGTAACGCCGTCCACGACGTCTTCTTCTTCTCCTCCTTCACCCTCACCATCCTCTTCTTCTTCACCTGCTGCATTCCACAACATCCACATCAAGATCGAACCCGCTTTTACCACGCGAGTACTACATCACAAACCTTCTTCCTCTTCGAGTTCTCCCCACCGCTCTCGATTAATCTCCTCGCTCTGCAACATAACCGCGTTAGCTGCTATCCTCTTTGCAGCAGCACACAACAACAGTCTTACCTGAGTTTCCGTCTCGGTCGCCTTGCCAAAGACGTCACCGTAGAGAGGCACACCATTCTCGTCCACTGGCGGCTTACCCCAGCCACCAGGATGGTAGCCAAAGCTAGAACCCTCGGGGATCGGCGCATTCAATCCTGGAATCTTCAGATTGGGGTAGGCTGGTGGCGGACCGTATCGCTGTACATTTAGTAGCCACGGCGGTGGCACACCTTCCACCATTCCGAGTGCTGCTTTGAGCTCATCCGACAATTGTCCAGGCACCTTCGTCTTCAGCTTCACTTCGAATTCCTTCCCTTCGTAGTACCTACGAGCTCGAAACAAGCATCAACGTAAGTCACGTGTGGTTCAGCATCATCGACCCAATCAAAACTGCGGACACAACGCACAGATCGCCTAGTCGCGTGAGCAGCTTAGGCTTTGTCTGGAATCGAAAGAACGCATCATGGAGCACTTGATAGTCAATATCCACTCGTCCCATCTTGGGCTGAACACGTTCTCTTGCTCGCTGTTTGTTCCTTTTCTTCTCATCGTCCTCCGCTACCGAGTCCCGCACTGCCGCGATTCCCGTTTGGGCAATAAACTCCGGTAACTGAAATGGCGGTTTCTCAATGCCCCGCTTGCCCTGCAGATACTTGCGCTTGTGGCACCAGTGATGAGGCACGGGTACCGTATTCCGATACGACTTCAAGTAGACCAAAAGACGTGGATCCGCCGACGTGACATCATGAGCTTCTACTACATCCGGATACGAGACGAGCTGCTTGAGCTCCGCGACGCTAAGTCGCTTACTCTTCTTCCGAGCTTTCCTCGACAGCACTTGTTCATCTTCCTCTCTCTCTTCCTCCCCTTCTCCATCTTTCACCACGTCACTATCCACGCCTTTCTCCACTCTACTTTTCTCATCATCATGACCGTCCTATCATACACACTCCCATTATCAGCTTTTGCAATCATTCACACGACATCCCGTCCCCATATCCGGATATTATCCATCCGGCCTCCACGCACCTCGTTGTCCGTGGTGCCACAGAGCTCCTCCGCCGATGAAAACTTGCTGAGCACGCGCAGCATTTCCTCGTACACTGGATCGTCCTGGACAAGCGCGAGCTCCTTGCTCGGGTCGGCGCTCACGTACTCCACTTCGACGTCCACCGGAGATGCGACGTCCGTTCGCTTGGGCGTCGCTGTCATGGGCTGAGAACCGGCCGCCAGTTGGACGCCATTGGCTTCGGCCTGTTTCTGCGCGCGCTTCTTAAGTCGCCGCCGCTGGTTCTTCGTCAGTCCGGACTCTGTAGCCATGAAGACGTCACGATCGGGAGCTCTTCAGTCCGGTGACGCGCGATTGCTGACCCTGGATTAAAGAGTGGTTCGTTCTCGATTAAGTTGCGGCTGGAGGGAGAAGTCCTGGTGGTAACTTAGACGAGAGCTCTGCAGATCGATGAAGTAGTTGAGGCTCTATAAATTAATTGATTGAAGCGAGTGTAAAACTGACGAGTGGGGAAGAGGTCGTTTTTGTTGAAACAAATATCGAGATATTTTGGATTAATCTTCCGAGGGGACTTGCCCGCCGAGTAAAGTAACGCTAAAAGTGCGTCAGCTCGACTTAATTTGTCACTAAGGTTGTGTAATAAATGCGTCGGATTAAATCTCGGTGCTCGGCAATATCCTCCTGGTATTATGAGCACTTTCAGTCAACGCTTGGAAAACGCTGTTGGCAACCCGCGCAATATCCAACACGTCACCTGACTAGAAAATAATGCTACAGGGTCATAAAAAGGAGCGAACGCATAGCCGTTTCGTTATTCCGAGCATCGTTGGCTCTTTTTAGGAGTTCAAAGCTCCGAGTTGGTGGACCCATCTTACCATCCTCGTGAGTCCGTGCACAGGCAAGGCGCCCGGTCGCTACAACAGAGTTTGAATCGCCTTCTTCTTCCTCTTGTTCTTCTCCTATTACCTCATCAATAATGAGTTCATACGCATACGATTCGCGCATATCCTTGATAGATACTCGCAAGACGGCGGCTGCAGTTGCAACGAGTGTCACTGTCAGGTATTCAACGGCGTTTTCGGGGCCTCAGCTGCGGTCATGTCTACCTTCATATTGAAAGCGAAGCTGCTAGTGGCTGTCCGGAGGTAACACTGCACATCAGTCAATGTAGTGCATTTGGCTACATCTTGCTGGAAAATAGACGTTTGGGGGCGTAACGTCCACGACGACCTCGCCCGTTTCAGCCGCAAGAATCGGTCCGAACCAACGTGTGCGCGGTGTCTCACTGTTCAATTTCGAGTCTAAAACACTGTCATTTGTTTTTTTCGTATTGTTATATTCCGCTCGAAAAGACAACATTCAGTAAAACTCTATCGAACTGAACCTTTATCAGTCGTGTGTCCGGCCAAACCTTGCGATCTTCAAGCATCGAACTGGAGCCAAACGTCATTTTTAGGACGTCTTGCCCTGTCTTTACTGGTCAAATGAAATGGCTTCACCGCTCACGCCAATCGCAACCGCCTGATTTTTCGAGGGACATTTCATCTCCACCGGATAGGGGGTAGGGTCCCTCTCACTCTCTCTCTCTCTTTCCATACAAAACCCAAGGTACTCGTAAAACTATCCAACCCCGCGTCCCATTTTGCACCGTCGTCTCGCCCACAGACGAAGCTGCCGCCCGCCGCCTTTTCCCCACACGCGCCGCGTTCCCCACCACCGCAAGAGCGACACGGACATACTCGGCAGCCACGTCGTCGTCTCTCCTCTCCCTCCTCTCTCTCTCTCCCTCTCCCGTATCAGCAGCGCTTCCGTTGGTTTTCTAGCCTCGAGACGCCAGCGATCGGCCAGTGTGTCCAAAAGTGCTCTTAAACCGTCGGACGTCCAAACATCGCACGAAAAAAGCACCTTTTTTTCGATCCCGATGAAGAAGTCGCCGGTCGCCGCCATGAGCAACATCCGCGACGCCGTGCGGCGCAAGAGCGTGGGCCTGACCTTCAGCATCTTCAGCCGCGGCCCGAGCTCCACAGGCGACGACGACCGCTCGGAGCAGGAGGGCGACGACTCGAACGACGACTCGGAGAGCAGTCGCTACGACCGGTCGCGACAGAACTCGACGCCGATTGAAGACGAGACGGACAGCTGCGTGTCCCCAGCCGTGAGCTCGCAGTCGTCGTACGTGGAGCCGCCAGAGCCGCCACTGCCGCCTCCTGGTGGACTGCTGGAAGCTGCGACAAAGAACGTGCAGGGCAAGATGCAGACGCTGATGGAGACGCTCCATGAAGTCACGACGTCGCATGTACGTTGAGTGGAAAAAGTGCTTTTTTAGTTTGGATCTCCTTTTTAGCTGCTGTCGTGTCGGACGTGGCTTGTATGGAGATTCTGTTGTTGCAAACGCAGCTGTGTGGGAGATTTGGACTGATTAGTTGATACTTTGTGTTGTGGTTGTGTAGGATGACGAGACGGTTTCGTGCAGTGTCTTCCTGTCGAGAACGGCGTTGTTTTCCGATCGACTGGTGGTGTTTGTTGGCGACAGTGACGGATCTCCTGCTGGGATTTGGAGTGCACGGTTGTGTGTGCGGTCGGGATCGGAAGGAGGTGGTATTTTCAAAGGCAGCTTAGGATCGATGCTGCCGTATGTGATGAAGGCAAAGGATGACAAGCTTGGGATCGTACTGTTTGATGACGTCTTCAAGGACTCGATGCGGGATGGAGAAATCGATGTACGTGTCGGTTGTGTCTGTTGGACTCAGAATGTGGTTTTTCTGATGCTTTGTGATATGGTCGATTGGTTTTGGAATGCAGATGAGGAGTGCAATACTGCGGTTTATGACGGGCTGGCGCAACCACGTGCTGACTTCCCGAGCTACGCATGTGTTCGTTGTAGCGTACCGGGATGGTGGCACTCTCTTTGTCGAAGCTTTGCGATTGCACATGAAAGAGATGCAGCGTCACATTAGTGGTGTCGCCTTTTTGCAGTCTACGCATCACATTTTGTCGGAGGATTCGTATACGCTGCGCAAAATGATTGCTCAATGGTGTATTGCGTACCTGTCATCATCTGAAGGTGTCCAAGCGTTGAAGCGCATGAAGTCTAGGGAGACTCCGCTGGGTTGCGTAGTGCTCTCGGCAGGCTCTGTAACATCGGATGTGGACTTGCTGCAGCTGGTCGTCTCTTCTGTGTATGCGAGTTTCAAAGCAAGGTGGTCTGGTTTCCGTGTTAAGAACGTGAACAGCGGCATGGAAAAGTCGTGTTACGCATGCAGGGGTGCGTTTAACATGCGCCGCTGGCGCCGGCATTGCCGCACGTGTCAGAACCCATGTTGCGAAAAGTGTTCGTCTGTAGAGAACACACGCCACGAAGGCCAGGTGCGTCTTTGCTTGACATGCCGAGCGCTGCCATCGCTGATCCACTGGTCTCGACCGCGTGCTGTCCGCACGGGTGAGAAGGAGAGCGTATTCAGTGGATCAGCTAAGCCTGGGAAAATGTCGGTGAATGACTTTGAGCTCGTGACGGTCATTGGCCGTGGTGCATGTGGTAAGGTGCTTTTGGTGTTGAAAAAAGATGGCGCAGACGCGGGTCATTTGTACGCGATGAAGGTGCTGAAGAAAGAGTGGGTGATGAACAAGGATTTGGTCACGCAGACAATGGCAGAGCGCCGCATTTTGCAGGAAGCCGATCACCCGTACATCGTTCAGCTGAAGTACGCGTTCCAGAACCAAGACAAGCTGTACATGGTGATGGAGTACTACAGCGGCGGTTCACTTCGTCAGGTATTGCGTCGCCGTGGTCGCTTTAGCATCAAGCGTGCACGGTTCTATCTGGCTGAGATTCTCCTCGCCATTGCACACTTGCATTCTTCAAACATTTTGTACCGCGACTTGAAGCTAGAGAACATTGTCATTACCGCAGACGGCAATGTCGCATGCACAGACTTCGGTTTGTCGAAGGAAGAGATGGACGACAATGAGCGGACGAGCTCTTTTGTGGGCACGTGCGAGTACTTGGCGCCGGAGTTGATAATGAAAGAGGGCTATGGCAAAGCGGTGGATTGGTGGGCTTTGGGTATCTTAGCGTACGAGATGATCCAGGGCGACTCGCCGTTTCGGCACAGTGTGCCTACCATTCTGTTTGACAAGATTTTGAAGGAAGAGCCCGAGTTCAGCGACCGCTTTACTCCGGAAGCTCAGGATCTGATTGCGAAGTTGCTCACGAAAGACCCAGAGCACCGTCTTGGCTGCGGTCCTGACGGCGTCGAGGAGATTAAGCAACATGCGTTCTTTACTGAGATTGACTGGGACAAGTTGCTGCGCATGGAGATGGAAGTGCCACGTCCTCCGCATCGTATGGAGGACGTGACTGACGAAAGTCATCTGAACCGGGCAATCGCGAAACTGCGCGAAGCACGTGAAGAGCTCATGCCAGACTCGCCGGTATCACTGCCATCGTCTCCGTCCGAGCAGAAGCATTTTGATCGCTTTTCGTACCAGGGACTTGGCGACTGGAAGCCCGAGATGGCCGACATGGAGTTCGACGACGAGACGGGTGACTTCAAGCAGGGCACGATTCATGAAGATGAGGAGTTTGAAGAGGAAGAGGACGAGGGGTGCATTGAAGCATCTGGTGACGGTGACGATGTGCCAATGTCTCCCGGTTCAAAAGCAAATTCCATGACAAATTCCATGACGTCGTTCAAGACGTCTCCGTCGAAAGCCAACGGCTCGGACACGCCTCCAGCTTCGAGTTCAGCTGCGTCGGCATCACCGAGGAGTCCACAGAGCGCAGGCACCCCCGGCAGTCCACCTTCTGTACCCATGAGTCCCATCGATTCCGCGCCACTATCCTCGCTCACCACGCCCACGGAGCCTCAGTCGCAGTCCATCTAGGCGACTGCTTCTTTGCTGTTTCCACTGGTCGTTGGAGAACACGAGATACGTACATGCAGAGACCGTCTCGCAACACATGATCACCACTCGAATGTAAATGCCCGATGTTTGTAGCCATTCGCGATCGCGTGAACTGCAGCAGTGTTTAGCCAATCACATTTCCCCACACACGTCGCGCGTTGCATCACGTTGCCAAAAGAGGGGGCCGAGCGCCTCCTGATGTTGCAACCGAGACCTGGACCGCACGTCGCGCGTGACTCTCCTCGCCACTCTCCAATTGGCCACGTACCCCCCAGTGGTCACTCCCCTCCTCCTGTCTATTGATTTTCCATAGTAAATCTCCCCCCGCCCTCGTCATGTTTGTCAAGACCGTTCGCTCCGTCCTGCCGCCCGCGCGTCGCGGCTTTGCCAGCTCCGGCCTGAAGAAGATCAAAGTGCACCAGCCCATTGTCGAGCTCGACGGCGACGAGATGACGCGCGTCATTTGGTCGCAGATCAAGGACAAGTACATCCACCCGTACTTGGACTTGCCCATCGAGTACTTTGACTTGGGGCTGCCCCACCGCGACGCCACGAACGACCAAGTGACGGTCGACGCGGCCCATGCGATCCAAGCGCACCACGTCGGGATCAAGTGCGCCACGATCACGCCGGACGAGCAGCGCGTGGAGGAGTTCAAGCTCCAGAAGATGTGGCGCTCCCCGAACGGAACGATCCGCAACATCCTCAACGGTACCGTCTTCCGGGAGCCCATCGTCATCTCGAACGTGCCTCGCCTCGTGCCTGGGTGGCAGAAGCCCATTGTCGTTGGCCGTCACGCCTTTGGCGACCAGTACAAGAGCACGGACTTCCTTGCGCCCGGTCCAGGCAAATTTGAAGTCGTGTACACGCCAGCTGATGGAGGCAGCAAAACGACACTGGAGGTGTACAACTTTGAGAGCGCGGGCATTGGGCTGGCTATGTACAACACGGACGAGAGTATCTACGGCTTTGCCAAGAGCTGTCTCTCGTTCGCTTTGAGCAAGAACCAGGACTTGTACCTGTCGACGAAGAACACGATCTTGAAAAAGTATGACGGCCGCTTTAAAGACATTTTTGAAGAGGTGTACCAGAGCGAGTTCAAGGCCAAGTACGACGCAGCGGGGATCTCGTACACGCACCGTCTCATTGACGACATGGTCGCCCAAGCTCTAAAGAGCGAAGGAGGTTTTGTCTGGGCGTGCAAGAACTACGACGGTGATGTCCAGTCGGACATTGTCGCACAAGGCTATGGCTCGCTTGGTCTCATGACTAGTGTCCTGGTCGCCCCTGATGGAAAGACAGTGGAGGCGGAGGCCGCGCATGGCACGGTCACTCGCCACTGGCGTCAGTACCAGCAGGGCAAGAAAACGAGCACGAACCCCATTGCTTCCATCTATGCCTGGACGCGTGGCCTCGCGCACCGTGGCAAGCTTGATGACAACCAGGAGCTTGTGGACTTTTGCCTGGGCCTCGAAGATGCAGTGATTAAGACAGTCGAGGCTGGCCACATGACCAAGGACCTGGCGATTTGCATCCACGGTTCCAACGTGACTCCGGACCACTACCTGTACACGGAAGATTTCATGGACAAGGTCAAGGACACGTTTGACGCTGCTCGCAACTAAGCATGATGAGGGAGGAGAGCGTTCCTTAGAGCTATCTGCTTGACTCGTTGAGCTTACTATATCCACCGATGTCTGCAGTAGGCTGGCTAACGCAACCGCATCCGCTTCATTAAATCAGCTTTCAATACAACAAACTATCGACAGCTCAATGGACACGTGCAGCGTAGTGCCGATATATTAGTCCGCGTAAAACCTGGCAGCATCAACCGATGGGACTAGTTCGAGGGTGCCATCGCTCACCATTACCAAGTTGTTGCCAAATTCAAAGCACGTCGTGTTTTGCCGCTACCGTGCAATCCACAGCGATATTTCGCAGCCCGTTCATTGACGTTTCCAACAGCTACGTAGCTATTGGCATCGTCGAGGCAGTATTGTGCTTGTGTCCAAGAAGACGTGGCTTCTTTAACTTGTTCGATGACTCGCATACTGCTGTTTGATACACGCTTCTTGGTGATCTTGCAGCGTGCGCGTTCTTGTATGGAGAACACGTCGATTCCTGCACTTGTTTCGATCTCGCACATTGTCAAACGACTTGCTTCTTACTTCATGTTCACGTCGGGGGCGATGGGGGTGTATGCTGCAGTGGAGGGTGTTGGCTTCAAACATTTTGGAGCGATGGCAACCTGACCGGACACTGGTAACGCTGAGGACGAGTGAGGTCCCAGCCGTGATGAGATATCCGAGAAGGTTGAACTGAGCGGGAAGCAGTTTGCACCCTGCGTGAAATCAGTAGCACAGGTGAGGAGCAAGGTACAGTCAGTGCAATCAATAAGGTGTACATACCGGGTAGCAGGAAACGTTTGTCGGGTGCGTATGCACTGCTTGCAGTGCGCTGGAGACAGCCACATCCTGGCGACCATGGTGTTGCTGCTGCTGCTGATCAAGAGGCTCTACCGACGGGGGCATGTGAGAAAGCTGCTGATTCGGCTGTTGCGTCATGGCAGCAGCCACCGATCCCAATTGGGAGAACTGCAGACACGTAGCCAACTTGCCGACTTCTTGTTGTAAGCGGTCACGATCGCGACGTAACTCATCCCGCTCTCGTTTCAGTGATGTAATTGTCGATACAGCCTCTTGCAAAATCGCACTCTTTCGGACGCGGTTGGACAGCCCCAGCAAGTCAACAAGTTTATCAAACTGCACGGAAGACAGCCGTTAGCTACACAGTCTTTGCGATTGAACACGAGGTACGACAAGATCTCGACATACCTTGACATTCACCTCTTGGCGGCGCATCTTTTCACGTGATTTCTTTCGAGAACCTCTATCATCGTCTGGCATAGGTGAAGATGCACCGTTAGCCGATTCGCTGCCTATAGTCGAGCATACGCTGGCCGAACGACACAATCATGAAGTCAACATTACTGAAGTCGCGAGTCAAGCCCACGGACGATGCAAAGAAAGGTCCGAAAGCCTGCAGCTAATACAGCACGTACCGCTTGAGCGCGTTAGCTTCTCCACAATAGTTTGCATCGTCCTCATCATCGCCGCAGCTTGAGAGGTGCTGACACTGCGTGCTCTGCAGCTTCGAAGCAGCAGTCTTCACTCTTCCGCCACGTGGTGTCACGACATTTGATACCCTTAGATCGGGCACGACACACGTTGCCGTCGATGTCTCGTGTTGATCCAGACTAAAACTCGTAAGCTCCACGTCTTCTCGAGCTGTTAAACTCATCATCGCCACATCCGATTTCGCACTTTCAGGAGCCCAATCCGTCCTGAACGACGTCGCAAAGTCTTTCGTCGGCGAGCCAAAACCCATCCCCACGCCAAGTCCGTCGCCGTATTTCAACATGTCCGAGACACTCGCCAACGGCGGTGACACCAAATACTGCATGGACGTGTCCCCGGCAGTCCAATTCATCGTATCAGCTGGACGATCGGACTGCATGGCTCCACTTGAATCCAATTGCTCCACTTGTGACTGCTGGTCTTCATCCGTGTATCCGAGAGAGAATCCTTTCCAGTTCTCGTTCACGTCCGTTTGCAGAAAGTACTCGCCCAGGTCTTCAATTTGCAGCCCCGACATCTCGTCGTCAACATCCATTGGTCCCGTCAATCACTTGCGTCGAATTCTGATCCAATACCCGATCAGAGCACACATTAGTCACGCAGCTAAATGTCCGCCACTCAAGTGGAGCCTAAATTTAGTGCAATTCAAGCGCGACTCTGCTGTGAATTTACCGTGTAATAATGCGACTTGGACGTAGACCACGAAAGCAAAAATAACAATAACAAGCTGAAAATAAAACAATAGACATGCCTTAAGACATAGAACGGACCGTTGGTACGCTTCCAAATAAACCAATGGGAACACTTTAAAGTGCGCGCGGTCTCGAATCAGTCGTGTTTTCCACCAATCCCGTGCCTCCTTTCACAAAACCTCGCTCGATTGCCAATCAAATTGACGGACACCTTGCGCGGGATGGTGCTCGCCCGTCGACACGACAAGCGGCGCGGCAACGAGAGCGATGCGCTCCCAGTGGCCAGTACCAACGTATCTATTGGCGCGAACAAGGGCGTGCGGTCGCTCAGTGGCGCGCGTTCCGGGCGCTTTGCTGCGGACATGCGCGCGCACGTCGGAGGCTACGGCCGCGCCGATCAGACGTGGGGGGTGGACCATCCATGGCACTCGAGCGGGGGAGGCGCGTTGTTTGCGCAATTGTGTGCCAAAGACCATATGGAAGAGGGTGTAAGCGAAGGAGATGGCGACGCTGAGGATCAGATGAAGGAGACGCCTGGGCGTGGCCTCAGTCGGGCGCAGCTGAAGAAGCGCAAGGCGAAGCTCCAGAAAACGGGGTTATCGGCGCAAGAGGCGGCGGCGAAGGCGCTGGAGGAGGCGAAAGAAGCGGCGCAACGACGCAACGACGAGGAGCTGCGACGGCTGGAGCAGGTGAAGAAGGAGCGGCAGGACGCTGCGCTGCGGAAGAAGCAGAAGAAGCAGCAGGAAAAGTCCACGTTGGCGACAAAACTAGTGGACGAGAAGGAGGTCGAGGCGAAGCGAGCGGAGAAACGCAAAGTGGAGAAGCAAAAGAAAAAGGACGAGCGACAGAGAGTCGTTGAGCAGACGGAGCAGCAGCGGCAGGTGGAGCTGGAGGCGATCAAGACGCGCGAGACACTGGCGGGTGTCTATGAGAAGGTCGTTGGTAGTGAAGTTACGACCAAGAGTGGCTTGGTCTTGCAGGATCAGCGCATTGGCAAGGGGAAGCTGCCATCTTGTGGCGACATGCTTACGGTCAAGTACCGTGGGCGACTTGGACGCGACGGACTAGTGTTTGGCAAAGGCATGCTCACGACGACGTTTGGCACAGGGTCGGTCATTGCTGGATGGGAAGAAGGTATGGCAACGATGCGTCCCGGCGGTGTACGGTTATTAACGATCCCGCCTGAGCTGGGCTACGGAGAAAGCGGGAAGGGCGACAAGATCCCGCGCAACTCGACGCTGTTTTTCGAAGTGGATCTCGTGCGCATTGGCAAGCGGAAACGCGAGGCCATTGACGAGAGCGACATCCCGCTGCCCAATGCGTTCCAGCGCAAGCGTATCAAGCAGACATCAGGCAAACAGTGCGACGAGAAGGAGAACGACGGGGACGGGAAGCTGTCCAAGAGCCAACAGAAGCGAAGACGCCGGAATCGGATCAAGAACCAGAGTGAGGCAGTTGCTACTTGATGAGGACACGATAACGCACTTAATTAGTTCCTTCGAGTGAGCGTATTACAGATGTCATGAGTGTGTCGTTATGACCTGGGCATAATATGGGAACATTGCGTGGGTTAGCAGCCAGGCTCCTCCGCCAGTCGATTGCCGACTGGATGGACTTGTTATGCGTGACATGCAAATCAGCCTTCCCATTGGCTGTAATATAACAACACGCAAGTCCGACGTAGCTCGTCAGTCAGCCAGTCCATTTCGAGGAGCTCCGATAAAGTGCCCGCAGTTCGCAATGGTGGCGTCTATGGACGATGTCTCAGCTCCAGCCGCAACTGAAGTGACTGCAGCTGCTGCGAAGCTCCCGCGTCGTGTCGTCTCTCTCCTCATTGACAACTACGACTCGTACACGTACAACATCATGCAGATGGTGGCTCAAGTGAATGGCGGCGACTCGTCCAGCGTGACAGTGATCAAGAACGACGACTTTGGCGGTCACTTTGTTGCTGCTTGGGACCATTTCGTGAACCAAACGAGTGCCATAGCAGAAAAAGAGCGCGTGGAAATAGTGCGCAACGTCATTATTTCTCCTGGCCCTGGCCATCCGGACGAACCGACAGACTTTGGCATGTGTGCCGATGCGATTCGATTTGCTGTCGTGCCAGTGTTTGGCGTTTGTTTGGGACATCAGGGATTAGCACAAGTGTATGGAGGTCGAGTTGTGCGGGCGAAAGAGGTCATGCATGGCCGCACGAGTCGAGTGTACCTGCACGAAAAGAAGCAGTCGCTTTTTGCGCACGTACCTGACGGATTTGAAGCCGTGCGATACCATTCATTGGTCATTGATCCGACTACTGTACCAGACGAGCTAGAAGTGATCGCAGAGACAGACGACGGAGTTATCATGGCAGTGCGTCATCGAACAAAGCAGCAGTTTGGCGTGCAATTCCATCCGGAAGCAGTATGTAGTGCATATGGCTACCAACTCTTTCAAAACTTTCGGGATGTTACGTTGGGACAAGATGCTTCGAAGTGCGAGTTGCATCATAGTAATGAAGGAAGGAGGAACAATACGGCGCAGTCTCAGGGCATGCGTATGACCACACCACTGGCATTAACCCATTGTGTGGTAATTCAGCGTGCCTTTAGTGGACTCGCATCGTTAGACTTCGCCGAATTCGTCTTTACAGAGCTGTTTGGCGATTCGAAGAGGTCGTTCTGGCTCGATAGCAGCAACCACGATGCAGTAGCGGGTACAGAGGCATCAATCCAGTCGCGATGCTCAATGATGGGCGATGATAGTGGACCTTTGAGCTATTGTGTAGAGTATGACGTCGTCAAGGTGGAGCTACGTGTACGACGGCGTCAGATGAACGCTGACGACGAGCAAGTCAAGATTTTACAGGGACAGGACGTGTTGACTCATATTCGAGAGATGATGCAAAAACACCGCAGTCATGAGATTGTGTTAATGGAGAGCGAAGAATGTGATCTAGGTGTGAGTGCAGAACTTCCTTTCGCCTTTCGCGGCGGGTTCGTGGGCTACATTGGATACGAAGTTCTGGGTAGTGAACGAGAGGGCACGAAACAATTCGACAGCGATAGTGGAGAAGAAGTAAGCGATGAATGTGCCCCGGATGCTTCGTTCCTGTTTGCTGATCGAACGTTGGTGTTTGACCATCTTGATGGTGTAATTTACTCGCTTACGCTAAGCGAGAGTGACGTCAAAAGCGCAAATGCGAGTAACGACTGGCATCGAGCAATGAGGAAGCGACTGGAGCAGTGTGCCAACACCTTTAATCAGAAGTCAGACGCATATTCACCGCTTTCAGAAGACGCCGGCATTGCAAAGAGTGACGTCATTTTCCGCCCTTCGCGAACCCGAGCGCAATATGTGGCTGCTATCGATGAGATACAACGCTTGATCCGTGAAGGCGAGACTTACGAAGTGTGTTTGACGAACCACTTGCGTGCAGAGTATGCTCTGCTCGATCCGTTAGCATTTTATCGTATGCTGCGCCAGCGGAATCCTGCTCCATACGCCGGGTTTTATCTGAGCAACCCGAACAATCGTTTCCAGACTCTAGCCCAGTCCGATGCGTCCAAAGGTCTTGGTGATATGGACGATACGTACGCAGTATGCTGTTCTTCGCCCGAGCGATACCTACGGATGGAAGCGAATGGTTTGATGGAGTCCAAGCCCATTAAAGGAACACGTCGTCGCGGTCATGATGATGTGGAAGACGCGGCGATTGCTGAGGAACTTGCAACCTGTGAGAAAGACCGGGCTGAGAACATGATGATTGCGGATCTCGTGCGCAATGACTTTGGAGCTGTAGCACTTGTCGGATCGGTGCATGTTCCTCGGTTGATGGACGTTGAGACGTACGCCACTGTACATCAACTCGTGACTACCGTTCGTGCCCAACGACGCGAGGATGTTGATATAGTAGATGTGCTCCAAGCTACGTTCCCTGGTGGGTCTATGACAGGGGCACCCAAGAAGCGCACAATGCAAATTATTCGAGAGCTTGAGCGTGGTCCGCGCGGAGTTTATTCTGGAGGACTGGGCTTCTTGTCAATTGATGGCAGCTGTGACTTGAACATGATCATACGAACAGCAATTGTGACTCCAACTAGAGTGACGCTTGGTGCTGGTGGAGCTATCGTAGCACTTTCCGACAGCGAGAAGGAGTATGACGAGATGTTGCTCAAAGCACAAGCTCTTGTCGCCGCGATTGGTGCGTACGCCACGGGCAAGAATACCGGTGTTGGAGCCCGAGTGGTTGTGGAATAACTTTTGCGAGGGTTGAGATCCTTGCCTGACGCTCGCTAGCTCAAGCATGTTGTCGACTAAATGTGCATAACGGGTATGCTATGCAACAGCACCTGTTTACATAGCGAACCAAGGTCCTCGCAGTTGCTGCGCTATCGATCATTTCAAGAAGCGTACGTGGCACAAAAGCAAACGAGTCCGACGTGGCGCTTTGTACGAAGTGGTTCCTGATTCTGACCGCATTCGATCACATCAGCTTTGCATCGTATCACTATCGATGGGACCATTCATTGGGACGATAGTACACTTCGTAAAAGGTCCTGAAGCGTGTCGGGTCTCTTGCTAGCAGAAGGACGAGCTGAACAACGCAGAATGGGCCGTGTACTAGCAATGATTCTGCGTAGCGTCGGCAATGATAAAGTTGCTTTGATGTCTCTCCTGTCTTGCGGTTTCTGCGCACAGATGCAGACATGAATCTGGAATGAGGAGGTCGTGAACGTATCAGAAGTCGGTAGCCGTGCACGGTTTCCTGATTTGAGCTTTACCTCACCAATTTCGTGGTACATGGCAGTATTGCGCGTTAAAGACTGCCGTCGTACACTCTAAATTATGGCAGACTCCATTGCTTGACGCCATGCCGTGAGACTGCAACTCAACGAAGCTGCGGCATGCGTTTTCCTGATCTTCACAGTGGCATCAAGAATTGGCGACGAATGTACAAGGGCGTGCTTGTCGGATCTTTGCAATTGCAAAACCATTGAAGCTGTGTGAAGTAGCAGGAGATCGAAGAACGAGTCTAATTTTTACGAGCTGTCGACGAAGACGAAAGCTTTAAGGGAGCGAGATGGACCCGAACCGTCTATGCGAGCGCACACAAATCGAGCAATATCTGATACGAAGCTTTAGTATTTGCCCAATTCGTCGGTCTCGCGCGTGTTGAAGCTTAGTGGTTGTGTGCATATTACACGATAAGCTAAGCTAGCCCGAATGGAGTGGGCTTGTTCACTAAAATAGCGATTTGGCTGTGAGATGGCAGCTACTGCCGACGTTTTTCCACCGATTGGTACATGTCATCCGTCTTGACGATTGAGCGGATCAGATGTTGCGTCATGTATATCTTTGAACGTCATGTGCGACTTGAGTGGAGTTTAGTTGCAGAACTACTTAATGTTATGGACCAGGATTACTGGCTAGCTGCGATCCATCAAACATTGCAAAAGTGGATCAGTGAGGATGGCGTATGGACCTACGGGTTTGACGAGATGTGATGGCCAGTCGGGTACCTGATGGTGTCGTCCTATTTATCATGATAATCGGGTTGGGAGTAATACTATGTGAGCATTCGCCCGCATTTTTTTTCGCGACTACGCTCAAGACACAGCAATAGATGTCGAGTTTTGCTCTGCATGCCATGTTCATCCGAAGCATTTTTGATGTGGAAGAGCTTTCTGTAGCTACCGATTGGAATGCGATCGACTTGTTACAAAATTGCCGATTGCTGTCTTTATGAGATCACTACGGCGCTCAGCAACAATCATCGGCTTTTATTACGAGATTTAGTGTACAACCCGTATCTGAGACTTCTCGAGTGCAATAAATTACTGCTGGATCCCCGTAGGTTAGAGTTTTCCTTGAACTTCTGACTTGATCACTTTGGTTGAAGACCAGTGATGTTATTGACGTTCACTGCTGTGAAGTAAGAATTAGGTTTGTAGATTGTAGTGTGCATCTGCCTCAGGTGTTTGTGGCAACTTACGACAAGACTCAAGGTGACGCACGCGACGTCTGAGTTTATCTGCAATTGTAGCTACTGTGACTGCCTCTTTTCCACCTACAACTCCCAGCCCATAACCACAGAAGGTTTTGTCTTCCACTCGACACAAGTCGTTCAGTCACGACGGGTACCCGACTTTTGCTTGCAGAGGGAACGTATGAATTCAGTTGGTGGAGCAAGCACTCGCAAAAGCTGAAAGAGCGCTGGATGATGCCGATAAGGCTCAGTTTTGGAGCTAAGAAACCGCTGGCCAGGCCATCTAAAGACGTACACAGCTGAAACTTTCGGAGATTGCGTCGTGTCCAACATGCTAAATAGTCAGCACTTTGAAGCGTCTGTACTGAGCGCTGTTACCATCGGCGACGATCAGATAGAACTGCTAGTGCACTTATCCACTCGCGATGATCACGATGGCAACAGTGCACTCAGTGGATTCATGACGTTTCAAACCTCGGCGATGGTGCCACTTGCGTCCAGGTGCGGTGCGATCCATGGAAAGCTTGGTGGATGTGGCAACGATTGACTTTGGTGCTAGAGTATTTACGATACAATCAGGGCTCACTGGGATCCACGCACAAGCAGTTGATGGTATTGATAGTGCAAGAAGTTTAAGCAAAATCAACCACCTCTGACACTACGTTCCTGGCTACTTGTGGACTCAACAAGTTCGTCCTCAACTCAGTCACTTGAGATGCCTCGGACGTGTCGGGCTCGAGAACGTAAATGCCACCGCCCAGACCTCCAATACTAACCATGTGCTCAGCTACGACACGAAACGGCAGATCCTTGATAGCACCTTTGAAAAGCTTCTTGGACATGACCAGCAGCACTGCCAACGAGGTACAAAAAAGGCAACATGCACTGACGTTAGCCCTACTGATACGAGTACAATGACGACACGTGGATGAGGCTGTTGTTGTACCTGCTCGACCATCAGACCGGAGAACACGGAAAAGCTCTTTGAAGACTTTCGGATACATCTGGACAAGCAGAGCGAGTTATAGCAACGTGTATGCTGGGATGCTGTGGACAAAATGGAGCTGCACAGTACCCTGTTGTTCCGGCGATGATTGCCGCAGAGAACACCGAACGGCATGTCAATCAAAACCCTGTCAATGCTGTGACTTCGAAGAGGCAGTCGCGTGCTATCCCAGCGCGCAATATCTACAGGACGTGCTCGCGTGCGTGCGTTCTGACCAGCCTTCCCCAGTGGCAACTCATCCAGCTCGCCTCCAAGAGCGTAGACTCTGTCGTTCGTAAAGTCGGCCGCACAGATTGGAAGCGTGCCGACCCCGCACATGGAATCCAGCACCACATCGCCATACTTGTGCCCTGTAAGCTGCAACATGAGATAGGCCGTACTTGGACGCAGCGTGGAGACACAGTTCGAATCTGCTAGCGCACTGCGCGTTTCGTTTGCTAACCGATTACGGAACTGCACCTTGCGAGGATCAGCCAAGACGAGGCCAGCCACCATAAACTTGTGGAAGAGGACAACAACGACTTCGAGGTCGAACGCGGTCAAGTCCACGCCCCACCCGAACTTCTCCACCACGAGCGCCCCGACTTCACCCGCAACGGTTTGCGAATTGTACGCGTGCTTGCCATCCCGTACACAAGAGCCTCTGAATGTAATGGCACTGTCGGCTCCCGAAAGTCCTACATGGGCCTTCCACAACTTCATTGCTGCGTCCCAATCCGACGTCATAAGCAGGTGCTACACCCGTTGACAGAAAAGCAAATCAACGGTCAGTTCAAGGCATCGCGATGGTACATGGGAATTTTGCCTTACCCCAATCTGCTCCACGCCAGCTTCGCTCTCCGTGTCAATGTCGTCACTTTTGGTGAGCAGAGCGAGCGTCGCCTGCACTGACTGCAGTTTCTGAACTTCGGCAGCTGTCGACTGCGTCTGGAGGATGATCTTGCCCACGGCAGCTTGGCCCTGCATCACCTGCATATACGGTGGACGAGCATTTTCCTGCACACTGCAGATTTCGAGACGTTCGACCTCGAGCTTGGAGCGGATCTCGCTTTCCACGAGACATTCCAGACCTCGCAAAGTTAGCAGCAAGTACGTCGACGTCCCGGTCATTCGAGCGCGGGCGACGCCAACCAGTGGTTTTCGTGTCAAAGGTGTGGCCCAATCATACAAACCCCAAGTGAACAAACAGCCGCTACGAATAGGTCTCAACTGGACGCCATGCATGCTGATGAAAGTGTGTTAAACGACAGGATGGATCGATGCAGCTGATCAATTGGATGCAGATCAGCGACCGATGCTGGAGAGAGCGATTTCGTACATCTAGGAAGATCCTGCGAAGCATTTGAACATGGTGCGCAGAGAATAGAACGAATCGAGCAAGCGGGTCGTACTCTGCGTATCAGTCGACCAACACCTCTGGAATTCTGGAGTATTGACGCAGTCAACATCAGTGCGCAGTTGATGTACAACCAACGAGCAGCAAGATTACAGTATAACCACAGGGTAGAGGGAGGCAGTTGTGACGCTTGCTAAGCAGTGGCAAGATAAGGGGCTACAGCGTCAATGCAATGCAGCGATTCGACGCTGATCTGAAGACACGAAGATTACGACTGAGTAGACCATGACTGGGAAAAGAAGCGTAGTTCTGAGGTTGATCTGGACATCGATGAGCGGCTCATCTCGTAACAAGCTCACCTTGTGCGTGCTGACGATCACACGATTGTTGCGTCGAACGAAAGGTCGTCATGGTTCGCTTGCACCTCAACCAGGTCTGTGCGCGATTGTACGATTCATCCAACAGTCAGTGCTTGTCTGGTTCAGAAGATCCCGTTGTCTGATTGCCATCTGGTGCTGCAGGTTTTGCTTGCGTCGTCGAAAGACTTTACAATTGACGTGCTATTGGTACCATTCATGTTGAATAGTGAATCGCACAAAGGGCTGCCTAGAATAAAAACACTGGGATTGGTGTCTGGCTGCTAAACATACGTCGATCGCCTAACGTCCAAACGTCAGCGTGCCTCTCAGCGACAGTCCTAAATCAGTACGTTCCCAGGCCATTGACCAGATCTAGGGTCGTAGCTTGAAGTAGGGCTTGATCCGGTCACAGAAATTCAGTGAACTGCTATGATTATAGGCACCTGTTTAGACGACGACCATCTGCACGGTCGCTGGAAAGAATAGACGAGCAGAAGAGGCGACTGGCGTCGGCGGGCTATATCCACAACCACGGGCAGTTGAGGATTGTGACTGATGGTGCTATTTCTGACTATGCGGAGGGCCCTCCGATAAGTTATAAATGTTGTGATAGAAGCGAGAAAAGTTGTCAGAGTCGTGATTTGTCTGATTCAAAGTCGTTTTTGCCAAACAGCTACGATCTGAATCAAAATCGAAGCAGTTTCAGAACTGCGAGAGCCGGCCCGTTGATGATCGAGACTGGAATGTGAGCTCTCCCAGTCATTCTTTGTTGTCGAGGCCAGTGACTTGCGCAAAGACTCAGACAATTTGTAATGGGAGTACCCGGTGTGGTCAACAGCACGAGAAAAAGGGTCATCGCCTTATCGACAGATTCAAAGAAGGTTATTTGGCGAAAGCTGACCGGAACCTCGCAAGCTGTCCCGTCGATAAAAACTATGGCACTTCGTTCACGTGGGGTGTCGGTAAGCTCCATTGTCAGTGCGAATCGGGTACAATTAGTCCGTTTCCAGGCCAACAATTGGCAGGTTTGATCCGAATTGGCTCGGAATCCATTCTTTTCGAGTCGTCGTCTCTACCACAGCTGCTATTAAACCAGGTTCTGATCTCACCGGACCTCCGTCAGATCAGCGATTGTCTTGCAATTTGCCACGTGTCTCCAGTGTGATCTTGACTAAATGCGACACTTTGCGATCTCTTTGTACAAATTACAAATTCATGTCGCTTCATAAGCCGCAAAATAATGCTCAAATACAGTCCTTTTTTACGTCAACGATGGTCTAGTGGAAAAGTGCTACTCTCACCACGCTTTATATTACCGCATTCACGTGGTTTATCGTGTGCAGGTCGTTATCGTCACCTATCGACAATTGATCGGTATGGTGTGTCCATACAATATCACTAATAGTCCGACCGATTGTTCCTTTTGGTACGACGTCAGCAGTCAAATATTCACCACTGCGCAGAGTCAGTACATTAGATCTACAACGAGTCGACAAATGCCAGAAAACGGACTGCTGGAAGACGAAGCAGATGATGTCAGAAAACCCACGTCCTGTACTACGCAGCCGTACTGAGCCACCTCGGCTCGAAGAGGCATCTATCCCCCCACTTGAGTGCCAGCTCGATAGCTGCCCGTCTGCCAAAGCCCAGTCATGTGTCGTGCTGGCCCGTCCAGGCTATAACCCGCAAACACGTGGAGATACACTGGTGGAAATAGCGTCCGTCCTGCAGAAGAGGCGGTCGACAACGTGGTTCAAAGACGGAGCAGATGAGTGCTGCAAATTCCACAGAAATTCCGACTCATTAGTGATCGTGACCCAGCCACGTCGTCCTCCACTCCTCATTCGTCTCTGCTCTCGTCCTCGCTCGAGCTGCTGGCAGAAAATGAACAAGCGCGAGGGGAAAGATCCGTCCTGCCGAGACAAGGCCCTCATGCAGCAGTTACGGCTGTACTCGAGACGTCAGTACATCGTCCTCGCTGTCTTAGGAGCCATGATCTTTGTAATCTGGTTCCAGAGCTATGAGGGGACAACTGCATCGACCAAGCCAAAGCTGCAATCGACGACGCTGTCGGAATTCAGGACTCCAACTTCTATTACGAAGGACGAAAACCTGGCGAAGAAAGCGCCGGAGCTCAGGACCCCGACTGCAACCACAAAGGATGAAAACCCGACGAAGGAAGCGCCGGAGCTCAGGACCCCGCCCGCTGTCACGAAGGATGACCATTTGAACGAGGAGACGCCGGAGCTGACGACCCCGCCTGTCGTCACGAAGGATGAAAGCGTGAAGGAGACGGAGACGAAGAAGCCAGAGGGAAAAAAACAGAGGAAAGTGCCCAAAGGACCGGTCACTAGTGTCCTGCGTCCCATGACCCCTGACCTCCCTCCGCTGAACCCGGATGTGGCGTTCCAGATCACGTCGTCCAGCGACGAATTCGATGAATACCACGAACTGTTTCCGCAGTATGGCAAGAACGAATCTGGCGAGCACTATCGCATTGAAAACACCCGTGTGCTTGCTCAGCCGGGAAACCGCGAGACGGACTCGGTGCTGATTGTCTGTGTCTTTAACGACGCCAGTTCGTGGGGAGAGAACCGGACCATCGCTGATTTTTTCGAGCTTGTTGGATCGTTTGACTACAACAAGGAGAAAATCTCCATCACGTTGCTCACTTCGTCAAATGCCGAGTTTTTGACGATCCAGAAGCTCTTCCTCACGTACATTCACGAGTACACGCGACTTTCCGTGATCCTCCGCAATGATTTCGCCCAAGGTGGCTTGACCCGCTCGAACCGCCACCGGCCAAGTCTACAAGGCAGTCGACGACGCATGCTTGCTCGATACCGGAACTACGCCCTGCTCTCAACGATGCAGTCGTGGCACCAGCACGTGGTATGGCTGGACGCAGACACCAAGCTCATTCCGTCGTACTTACTTGCGAAAATGGTGCACTCGGGGCTTGATATTCTGACGCCCGTGTGCTACGTTGAGGTGCGTGGCACTTTAAATAACTACGATTTGAACGCGTGGGTGGGGGAGCGAACGGTGCGACCACCGACGCATCGACATGGCACCTACGTCCCTCGACCATTGCACGTCGAGTTTCTCGATCAGATCGACAAGTCGAAGGGACCATTTGCACCGATTGATTCTGTCGGAGGGACGATGTTGTACGTGCGAGCAGATGTCCATCGACAGGGCATTCTGTTCCCAGTCCATTACGTTATCGGCAGTGAATGGGGTCGAGAAGGCTACGACGGGATCGAGACAGAAGGTCTTTGCTACACTGCAAGCTTCCTCGGTTTCAAGTGCTGGGGGATGATCAATGAGACGATCGTACACCCGTAACGTTGATAGAGTGGTTCATTCGGAGTTTTACCAGTTGCAGTTGCAGTTGTAGTTGCAGGCGAGTGAGTGAGTGAGTGAGTGAATTGGGCTCGCAGGAAACAAAGCGTTTTTTTAGAAATGACGTTTGCCACGCTCTCTCTCCCGTTAGTTATCAAATTTAACTTTATTCGCTGCAGTTATGCTCAAGTGGCCGCGTCTCGTGGCGTCGGTTTTGACGCCTTCTACCTCGTGTGCTCTAGTACGTCGCTATGGATATCCATCATGTACCCATGTATCCACTTGAATCGAACGATCGCTGTGTCTAGTCGTCCGTGTCTGCCGAAGTACTCGACGAACTTGTGGGGCACGCTAGTGAGCCTACTGTGCGTCGTTCTGCGCGTCAATTCGACGTCTTTTCACGGCCGTTGCCGATTGAGCGTCGAGTGGAAAGAGTCCCGGACATCCATGGGACAGCAGTGGTCCATCCGCACGCAGAAGTCGGACCCAACGTGGTCGTGGGCCCGTATTCCGTCGTGGGCCCAGGTCGTAACAAAGTGCTTTTTATATACTGAAAAATAGGGTCTGGTTGACTTGCCGCTCACTTTTTACACAAAACTGTCTGTTGTGGCAGCAGGCGTGGTACTTCAAGATGGGGTTCGTCTGCAAAGTCACGTCGTGATTGACGGCAAAACGCGCGTCGGCCGTGGTACAGTAGTGTACCCATTTGCAAGTCTAGGAGGGGAACCGCAGGACAAGAAACACGATCTCGACTTTGCAGCAGCAGCAGCAGAAGCAGCACACCAAGTGAACGACTGGACGCTCACGATCGGTCGCAATTGTGTTATCCGAGAACGTGTAACCGTCCATGGTAGTACATCGTACTCGCATTGTCCAACGACTATTGGCGATGATTGCTGGCTGCTCTGTGGTGCGCACGTTGCGCACGATTCCCAATTAAAGACACGAGTTGTCGTCTCGAATAACGTGTGCATTGCTGGACACGTGGCGATTGGGGACGGAGCAGTTATTGGGGGACAAGGGGGACTGAAGCAGCACGTGACTGTAGGTCCACTGGCTATGGTAGGCGGGCAGAGTGCAGTGGATGGGGACGTACTGCCGTATGGCTTAGTCATGGGCAATCGGGCGAAGTTAGTCGGATTGAATCTCGTCGGCTTACGGCGTGCTGGAGTTCCACGAAGCCAGATCAAGTTATTGCTGCAAGTGTATCGCTATATTTTTCGTCGTGGCTGCGGGAACACGGGCTTTGCTCCTGCACTTGAGTGCGTGATTGATTTATCTCCGAAGCTTGTTTGCTAGTTTAATGCTCGTTAACATCTTTCTACAATTGTTAGTTTAACTTATAGGGGAACAGTGGTCGAACGCGCCGTGGAGGCAAAACAGTTTCTAATCAGAGAAGGGATGGATAGTCGACAGATACCCATGGTCCACGAGATGGTAATGCGCGCTTTTGCTGTATACACGAAGGTTGATCGTTTATCGATGCTAACCGTTTTGTGTGCTCGTGTTTTTCGTCAATCCTGTAGGTGGACTTTGTCGTGACTTCGTCACAGCGCTTTCGTTCGTCTTTGTGTCACGCGGCGATCGCAACCCGTTCATGCTAGATCTCTTTTGGTGATTGTACCAAAACGTGGGGTATAGATTTGGCCTCGTAACTGTTTGTACTGACAATCTGCTAAGGTATTCTAATCCAGAACAGATAAACACACCCATGGGCTTGCTATGAATGGAACAAATGGTACATGATTCTGGTGAACGAGCTCAATACGTTGCTGACCTTCAAGCGACAACTTTTGTTGTTTCGTCCCAGGCACGGGCTGCCGGAACGATGTCACAATTTATCAGTGTGCTGGTCAAACGCAGTCAAAGTCTTGAGGATTGATGGTCCTGCGGATGGAATCGCAATGAGATGGTGTATTTCCAGCTGGCGGAAATTTTATCGCACTGTTTAATGACACGGGCAGACAGCTTGTACGCTGAGTTTGCAAGCAAATCCACATTCCTTTCACCTGTTGACGACAGTTTGCAACAACTCGGTAACGATTCCAGTGGCAAGGGTACAAAATTTGTCCGGCGCGCAGCTTGGTCTCAGTATCAATTCGTGGATTGTTTTTGCGAGTGGCGAGTTGGAAGGGATGATGCAAAACCTGTAGCAGATGCCCTGCTTCTCCCAGAGCTACTGTCTGTTGCTGTCGCTGGTTGCTTGCGTTAGTGTCTTCATGGCAGCACTTCCTCAGCTCTCTGGGCTACAATTGACCCAATGATGCCACTGGAAGCTTCATGCTCGCTGGGTTATTCTGACAGCCGTAGATGTGCGTGTTTTGGCCAAAAGAAAATCATTGTGAGAAGGCCAAACGCGAGAGCGATATGATTGTGAGCTGCTGTGACTTACAACATCCAGATGGACGTACGTTCAGCGAGAATACTTGTGGCGATGATAAGGCCAATGTCACTGTATGGGGACGAGCTCGAAGAGCATCAGCGCTGCTTTCATGCGAACGGATCGAGAAAAACGGGTGAGCCAAGTGAAGGTGATGTCGGTTCGCCAGAGCTTTCAAAAAGCTTACTTGCTTGTCCACCACGCAACCAAGCGCAATTTGTCAGTACGAGCTGCGATCGTACTCATCAAGCAAGAACCTTCCAGGATCTGTCCAGGAGCGTTGCCCGTGATCAGTCTGCTGCAGCGCAATGAGACAGCCGTGTTTGAGCCTGCAATGGTGACGTCCTACAAGCAAGTCTTGTAGTCAGCAGTTGCAGTGGTGTGTGGGGCAATTACTCACTTCTGCCATGGCTCATCTTACAATCGCGTGAGCTGTTGCGTACGGCTGCAGGCTGGTGTTAGCGAGCGTGTTCTTATTTTTGGCTCGTGCTGTGTCCATCCAGCTCGCGCCATTATCGCTATTTCATGGTCTGCGATCGTGTGTGCGAAAGTACGCCAAGTGGTTATCACCGATTATTCCAGCTTCGTCAAACGCACTCTTCCACGGAGCTGATTTTACTCGATATTGACTGCTTCATGCTTGCAGTAAGGTATAGAAAGTTGAGACTGACATGGAACCAGCTACATCTCTTGCGACGTGGTCACTACATGGAGTCGGCACGTGGACATCATCTATCTTTATTAGCATGAAGCCCTGGTTCTATGGCTGGATTTTTGCAGCGCACCACTCCTGTCAGACACATTCTTACATTACGAAACACAGCAGGCGTCAGCTGTGTCCAACCTGTAGTCATGAACACACCGGCCTCTTCACCATTTGTCGTTCTACCTCAACATTCCAAGGTGCTGACATGATCGTTCTGAAGACAAAAAGCGGTGACTGGAGGACGAGACTAGCCATGGTCACAAGATAGACGCAACAATCAGCGGAGATAAACATTGGAGATCTCGACAGCCATTGCAAAATGATGCGGTGGCTATACCACAATGACCGCTATGCGATCTTCCTTTATTTCGTGGTAGGGGTCTATGGAAGCGACCCCATCGTACGTCGATCTTCTTGTCCGATACAAGCAATCCGGAACACTTCACATTCACGCATTTACGCTTTCTCACGACACTGGAAGTACAAAGCAACCCGATGCTGCGTGATACACCGTGCTACCACAGTTATGTGACGCCTCATCGAAAGTACGCTGCACGAACGACACGGCACTTGAGCACCTACTCTCGTAAAGCGTTTCTAACTCATCCACATCCACCGAGCTAAAGCCAGAAACAGCAACACCTGCACTTAGATGAAAGCACCTCGACGATAAGCCTGACTGAGGCAGTATGTGCTGGTCTAAGGAGCAGCACAAAGCATTGGCTGCAGCTGATTACGTGCCGATTGAGAGGTTTGGAGGTAATGTCACGAGTTGATGTTGTCGTGAGTTTGTAATGAATCGACCAAGCTCGCGAGGACAGCATTCGGTCGTCTTCAGTAATTTTCTATCATGTTCCGATGAAGGTCGGCTCAAATGACAATGGTGAATTCTTACGGCCGCAATGATGGCGTTGTCATCTGCACGAGTCTGAAGGATTTGTAACAGGCTCTCAGTAGACAGTTGACCGTCATGACAAGATGGTCAGCTCACGACCGTGACAACGTTGTGCTGCTCTCGGTTATAAGGACCCGATGTCGCATGTACGTCAAAATACGCGATAACGCTGTCTCTTTCAGTCGTCGTCGCTGAAGAGCTGCAGCAACTTCTCTGAGTCAGCGATTGTGCGTGTCAAACCAATGATCTGATTGCCACTAATCAAGTACGTGTCGGTGCAAGCACAATTGACTGTGGGTGGCTCAAAGTCATCAAAAGATGCAATGTTTTCTGATTTGCAGAATGTGGCATCAAATTCCACGATGACAGAGTAACCGATGGCCTGAATATTTTTCTCTTCGACGGACACAACATCCAGGCACTGGGTAAATAGTGAGGCGTACTTGATGATGCCCTGGTCACCATGGTATACTCCCCAAAATGGCATCTCCTCAGGCACCTCAGACTTGAGCGAGAAACAGGCCGAGATCATTGGCCTTAGCAGGTTAACATCGGGTGCGACCAAATATGGCCCACCACGATTCTTTGTTGCACGCTCAACCAGCATCGCGTTGGCAGTCTCGTCAGTATCACAAAAGCTATTGCGCGATATTCGTGTTGTAATGACCGCGGATTGCATAGCCTCGAACCATCTCATCCTCGAAGCGTCAGATCGTGTCACAAAAGTCAAAGTTTCGTCTTCCTCGCGGTGACTGTCGAACACATCGACCTGGAAGCCGAACGCACTATGGTCTCGTTTCTTAATATTTCGACGGAAAGCTATCCACTGTCGAGCGTTGCACACCACAAACGTTTTGGGTCGTGACTTCCATGGTTGTTTTCGTGCCACCAAAAATTGCTGAAATAATGACGTTCTCGATGGTGAAGTTGCTCCCGGTGCTCTATTACCCGGCAGCGCGGATGATACAGCTGAGGCGTCTTGCACAATCAGCTGACATTTCGACTTGTCGAAACTCAGGTGCACCTTGGCCCATTTTGAGCACTTTTGATAAGCATACCCGCTCATAAAAACATCACCTTCTTCAACACCAAACGATGTCGAATCGTCTGACTGCAGAATGTCAACAATTGATCGCGGAAATTTACTCTGCGACCGACTTTGAAACTTATCACTCGGATGCACCATTTCATTGCCGCGTGCGACGTTATGAGACGCCCCAATGCCTTCTTTTTCCATTGGAAGACGACGAAACGGTTCTAATTCTCTTGACAGATACTCACTCGCAGAGGAAGACGGACGAGCAAGCAGGAAGCCCGTATCTGCGTTATCTTTTACGACCCCTTTTCGGGTGCCAGAAGTAACTAGCTGTGAATCGAGCAGCAAATCATCCAATGCATCCATTTGTTGGTAATGCGTAGCGACGAGTGACGAAGCAAAAGAATTCCAGCCCTTTACGTTGTTGCAAAACTGACATATGAATTCCTGCTGAAGCGCGGGCGAGCTGCAAATTGTTGCGATCTTCACTCCAATGATCGCTAGATGCGCGTCGTATACGTGGGACAAAGTGTTCGTGTCCAGGTTGTGCAAGATGTACTCCAAAATTGAATCAGGGGAACGAAAAACGCTCCGCAATAGCGGGTTGTTTAAACGCTCGTTTGTGAATGACCGATTCAAAAGGTTTAAGTACAAATTCACGAGCCGGCAATGCAGAATGCTGGCTGTAGGAAACTTTTCGAAGACATCCATCAACGACGTCGCGAGATCTAATCGAGCCAACCGGCTGTCGATGCGGTCGTTTGACATCAAAATGACGACATCCAGTAAGTCGACGACGTGCATCACAAGCAACGTCGATGCCAATGGCCGGACGTTCACAACAGCTTTCCCGGAATTTAGTGAAGAGCTAAACACCGGTGGCACTGATCCAGTATACAGCGCACTTCGAGCCGGCAGCACGTCACATTGTGAAAGCTTACTCGGGCCATCCTTTTCAATAAGATGAGCAAAAGGAGCAAAATTTGCTTCATCTGCTGCGTCTTCGTCTTCGTCATCCGAGTCACTGTCGCTGAAACAGTCACGTGCAGCGAATTCGGAGATCGTAGATAGATGCTGATGGTAATTGATCAACGCACAAACTGTGTCCAGAACAAGATGAACCGGAGCTACAAACAGTTCCTGCTGCTCAGGATTGTGCATGGAAAACTCAATAGCATGACGCAGAATGTCAATGACGAGGACCTTTGGAATATGTGCTCCATTCACGCAATGTGCATCCAAAAAGCGTAGTTCGGCCATTCCTAGTTTGGCCAGTCGAGCAAGAACGGTTGCGTTTTCCGTCAAAGAGGATAAAATAGCATTTTTCAATTTTACGTGCACGGCAGGATCACTTGGAGTTGTCCGCGTTGGGAAAAGCTCTCGTTCGAACGGCTGAACACTCTCAAATGACGCGAGCTGGACTTTCGTTTTGATGTAATACCGAAAGGTATTTGGAAACTCGTCATTCAGAATCTTCGACAAAATTTCCACACTTCCGCTGATTCTTAAATGAGCTATAGACGCTGTGTTCGGAGTGAACAACACCGGAGATCGCAGTGCTGTCTTGGACGAAAAAAACGAAACCGACGGTACAGTTGGCGATCCACGTAATGAAAGTCGAGGAGATGCTGATGGTGTGGATGAGACCGTTGATGTGGATGACACACAAGATAGCGACCTGCTTATTCGAGTTGGTACTTGCTCCACAATCTGCTCCACCAAACAGCAAATAATCGGAAAATAGTCCAACCCTCGACGGACTGAAAGGTGAATCAATCCGTGCAACAACGAGGCAATATTCGGGTCGTACACATGAGCTGCTAAATACGACAGCAGCCACTCTTTCTCGTCAACATCGTCCTCGTCACAGATTAGCCTGTGCACTGCGGGAAAAACGACGAAATTCTTGACAATTCTGCACAGGTTGGCCACCAATACCCCGTCAACTTCCACGTCCTCATTCTCACTGCAACGTTCTGCATCGTCCTCGCCATCACTTTTCAGTTTCGGCCGCAGAAACTGAAACAGGCCTCCAAAAACCTTTTTCCACTCATTTGCGGTCAAATCTTCGATCCGCAGCACATATCCACGTGCACTCGGATCTTCCAGCAAACTCTCATCCTCGTCACCATTGACACTAAACTCCGAGACGCTGCTTCCCGAGCTTTCAAACCTCATACTCGCTCGTAATCGGTGGAGTCTCGCCAGTTTCCTCGTCGACGAATTACTACGAAAGTCGATCGACGTGGCTGCAGTACTTGGCGGTGGTCGCGATGAGAACATAGCGAGTTCTGTCGAGTCCACACTCTCTGGTCGCCAAACAGACTCGTACTTCTCGCCTGCTTCCACGTCCGTATCAGTCTTCTGTGCGCTGCAATCACGTTTAGGCTCTCCATACCACGCCACAGCTTTTCGGTAAAAGCCAAGGATAATCTCCGTGGCCACAAAGGCCCGACGATAAGCTTCTCCCTCGTCGTCAGCTCTTCGATCTCGACCTCCTCGTTGTTGCTCCTTTTCCTCCGCACTTGAAAAAAGCGCCACATCCTCGTCACAACTTGACGTGGCGTAAGTGAAAACCTGTTGAATCGACTGGGGTTCCAGCAGGAGCTTCTGCACCGGCGAAAAAAAGCGACCGTCTTCTCGCCGTTGGACCGTACTTAGCACGGTGTCCACGTCGTAGCAGCTGCAGAAGACGTTGTCCAGAACCGGTGCTTGTCGTAGCGCTTCAGCATTGTGAAGAGCTCGAGACGCTTGCAACGAGTCGGGACCGAGGTCCAGCGGCGACAGGGAGGTCGCCCATTCTGCGCCTAATGCCTGGAACGCAGTGGAAAAACTGGACGAACGCGGCACGTGCTTGTCACTGGTCACGTCACTAGCGACGCTGCAGTCGGAATCAGTATCGGCTGCGCATGTGCATTCACGTGGCGGCTGTTGTTGCCGTGGGGACGCGGACGAGCTCGGGGGCAAGAACATGCGTGAGCTCCTGGGAGTTAAAAGGGGACTGGGCGAGGAAAAAGAGTCGGACTGGAAAGGGTCAGTTTGTGATGGAGTGGGTCACTGGCGTTCGGCAGTCAGTGGGTTCGGCGATTGGGCGGTTAAGTGCGCACTAGTTGGTGGATTTTCGAGGCGAACCCATGTGTTGTTGGGCCAGTCTCGAGTTCGAGTCTGGATTCGAGGCGAGGGTTGAGACCCTATTGACAAAAGGAGAGTGCGAGTGGTGGGATCGTTCTTTGTTACGGTCAAGGTTCAGCGTGGACGTTGAGGGTGGTACATGCTGGTTGTGGAGTCAGAAGTGAGCCCACGTTGCGTGAGCCAGCAGGCGACAGAATCCAGTGGGCGACGTCAGGCTGTCGTTCCATTTGGAGATGAATGGGATTGAACGAAAAAGAGGAAGTGTTGTCGGTTAGGAAGAAGGCGGACGAGACGAAGTAGGTGCTACTTGGTAGCACCTTTGTTCTCGACAGCAGTTACTGAGCAGAGGCTGCGACAGTAGTTGTGCCGACACGTCTTTGGCCTAGGAACCATCTTTTCGAGCCATTGGCGTCTCCGCCTTTGCTTCATGTAGAGTGCGGGTACATTGCTGTGATCGCCGGTGACGACTTTTGGTCGAGACGAGATTGGGCGATTCGATGAGACCGACTTGTCCACCATGTCCGCGCTTTGTTTACGGTCTGTCCGTGTCAAATCTCATCGAGATGGTGCAGAACAAGATGCTGCTGTACAATGGTGTGCAACTCTTTGCAGTCTTGCCTCGCTAAAGTCATCACGTCTGCGGAGCAAAATGGTATGGATTTCAAGTGGATGTTCCGTTCAAGACAAATAAACCTGGTGAATACTTTCTTACTTGACGAAGCGTGACATCTGGTGTCAAGACGCCTCGGACGGAAGAACGGTGGCAGCTTTGACAGTTTGCATGTACTTGACGCAGTAACGACTGTCGTAAAGTTAGTATTAGGCTTGGTAACATTCGACATGGTTTAGAGTAGCGTAAGCAACGACGACTTGACAATCAGTTGCGTCATTGGAAAAACCCTAGTAGGCTTTTAGGTAGCATAGCGCCTGGATCACGAACAAATCTTGAGCAGCTGTTCTTTACTTCCGACCACACTTCTTGTGGGTCTCCAGCATAAGATGTGCTTGCTTCACCCTTATAGTAGTCATGAGCAGGTCTAGGACAGGCGTTTGAAAAGTTGCGAGTTTTGTAAGTACCGACAGAGCATCTTGATCGCTGCGCAAGCCCCCTGGCACAGTTGGCGAAGACCGAGTTCCATTTATCTCGCAGACGCCGTCTGTAACGGGGTGAGCCTGTTGAATGTAAGGGAACGGAGTATTTTAACTGATTTATAGCGATAACAAACCTTAGTTACGTCTTTAACCTCATAACTATGCGACCAATCGAATAGCCCTCATCGTAGTTCTTCTTGTAACAGGGCACCCTTTGTTTGAGTGCCACGAAACTTCACGTACACTCGTACGTGCAAAGAGAGGTAATCTACTTAAAACAGCTAGTTTGAGTAAAAAAGGAACAAAAGAGAACGATGTTTAATATAGTCAAGCTATCAATGTAACTTCAGTCTTTATCTAACTATACTAAACTACGTCATTATATGACGACAACTGTAACGGGGCACCCTGAAGCTTGTACTGGTGACAGTACAAGCTACTTATTCTGATAACAGAATAAGGCGGTGCCTCGTAACTTCACGTACACTCGTACGTGCAGAGGAAGACGGTAAGAAGAAGCGAGTACTCGGTTAGAGTAAAAAGTAGAACTGTATTTATAATAGTTAATGTCTGCAATAAATCACTATTTATCTTCATCTAACTATGTCTAAATACAAATGTGTAAATCAGTTATCTGCTCACCACTCATTGCGTGCGTCTGTCGTGGCGCGTCTTCGTTGGTTGATATAATGGCCTATATCAACCAATTAGGGACTACTTGGAAGTGCTACAGAATATTGTCCTTATGACAATATTCTGAGAATATAACTCTTATAGTTATATTCTATTAACAATTTCTTATAAATTGTTATGTAACGATTCACCCCGTTACAACAACCTGCTAACCACTCATTACGCGCGTTTGGCAGCGATTGGTGGTAATCTTTGGTTGAAACGTCTTGATGAAGCAATCTTTGAGCAGCGCATTAATATTATCCAATAGGGGATAAAAATCCTTCAAGATTATCCATCTCGGATAAAATTGATAGAATATTGTCAGGCTGAACAATCTCCCTATCGACACCGTTAGGTATCAATATCATGTCATGCTATCTTGTTACACTTCTTGTGTACCACACCAAAAATACGTCACCTCTATGAAGATCCTATTACGATCGATATCCTGTAGCAATAATCTATAGGGTAAGGTATGATTGCTTAGCGAATAAGATAACAAGTACGCCTCATCCATGACACTGATCTCTTTCTGTGTATACCGCACCAATGTGCCTTGTTTTCACAACCATCTGAGTAAACACGTTACAGTGACAAAAAGTAACGGTTCACTAGTTGTAACGAAGTAGCCCATTACAAAAAAATAACACCAAAATGTGTCAATAAGAAGATTGTCTAGCGTGACAATCTCCTGCCAATCTTATCCAAGATAGGTATTTTTGAAGGAATATTATACCCTTGTTGTAACGGGGTAGACCGTCACATGATATTGACACCAAACGGTGTCGATAGAGAGACTGTCCAGCGTGACAATATGCTACCAACAGTATCCGGGATGGATGATACTGTAGCAATATTGTCTACTTGTAGGATTTTATTCATGCGCTGCTCAAAGATTGGTTGATAAAAGGCGACTCAAACAAGATTACCACCAATCGCTGCTAGACGCGCGTAATGCGTGGTGAGCAGGTTGTCGTCCTACGACAATGTGGATTATTATAGTTAGATAAAGACTGAAGTTATATTGATAGATTGACTATATTAAAAACAATTCTCTTTTTTTACCCTTTACTCAGCTTATTCGTTGAGTAGACCAGCTTCCTCTACACGTACTAGTGTACGTGAAGTTTCGTGGCACCCTAAACAGAAGCTGCCCCGTTATACCTGGTAGCACTTCGTAGTCCGTCCAACGACTACTTAGTCTTACGTCCAACATGAACATGTTGGACGTAAGACAACAGCTTTCACGTCACACGTGAAGGCTACTCCCATCAGAGTGACTCATAATGGGAGATAGTCGGCCGCATGAGTGTACTCATGGACGAACTCGCCACCAGTGGTATGTTGGAGTCTCTAAGCAGAGACCAGCAACATGCCGCTATCAACAAGTTCCTACAAGGGGAACTTGCAGTCGAAAGACAGAAGGTAGCTTTGCTACAGCAGCAAGGCTCTCATCAGTCGATGGGCGGACCGACGCACATGCGTCGACCCGAAACCTTGAAAATTGATATCTTAAGGTACAAGGGAACCGACGAAGATTCCCTTTTGAGATGGTTCGTTGAGTTAGACGATGTCATCAGGGCCTGTCACACCGAGGGTGACGAGATGCAAGCTACCTTCGCCCTGTCAAATTTGACAGGACGAGCAAAGACTTGGGCCTTAGGACTCAAGCTTCACGACCCAAACGTGTTTGAGTCGTTGGAGATCTTGTAGTCTCGGCTTAAAAAGACGTTTGAGTCGCCGAGAGCCGAGTTCAGAGCACGCTCTGCACTCCTGAGGCTTAAGCAAGGTAAGCGTGATGTGCATGCTTACGCACAGCACCTGCGCTCCCTTGCAAGTAGCGTTACGGAGAACCCTGTTGATGAGCATACGTTCATCAACGTGTTCATCTACGGCCTTGTGGATGGACAGGTGAAGACCTACATGTTCCTAGAGGATTTCCATACGCTGGAAAAGGCGATAGCGTATGCGGAACAAGAAGCCTTCAGCCTGAGACAGTCTCAGGCTAACTCGTCAAACTATCGTCCGAAGAGGCGACAGGAAACAGGAGGTCCCGAACCAATGGACCTCTGTTACATCGAGAGTGAAAACTGTCGATCTCTGAGTCACAAGAGAACGGAAAGATGACATCGCTGTCAGCAGATTGGATACTACGCTAAAGAGTGCAGTGTCCTAAGCACCGCATCACGTCCAAATACAGGACGTGATGACCGCCGTTGGCCGAGGAAAGGTCCAAGGCGCGGATTCGACAATGTCGCTAAGCCGCTACAGCAATTCGGGCCGCCAAAAAACGTACAGGGTCAGTAGGGGCGGAGTACCCTTCTGATCCGGCAACGTCAAGAGAATTTGCAGGACTCTTGACGAAGATTGCTCCCAACACACAGTCGCTGTGTGTTACCGTCTCTTCTGACGAGGTGTCCCTCATCACTTGAAGATCGAAGTGACAAGCAGAATGTCACATCGCGCTCTAGTTGACTGTGGGGCGTCGGACAGTTTCAATCGACGCTAGTCGCTAATAAATAGTAGGCCCAACTATGTTGAGCGAGAGTTCCCCTTAAAGAGGATGACGGTGTGCCTTGCTACATGCGCATCCGTAACAGTGAACAAAGATATAGTGGGAATCCACTAAAAGCTGGAAGGAAAGCAGTACGATGATGACTTCATAGTACTGGATTTGGGTGACAAATTGACGTCATCCTCGTTCTGTCATGTCTCAGAAGATTTGAGCTATAGATTAGCTGGCAGCATCGATCCGCGAAGGTGCCTGCCGTTTGTTCATAGAGATAGCTATCTAATGAACGTCTTGGAGCGTCTACAAGCATGTAGATGTACTACGAGTGAGTGCGATGGCCTCACTCGTGGTACGTTCGTTAGTACGATTGCACAAGATCACAGTGTAGAAGGCCACTACACTTTAGAACCAGCTTCCGGCACCTGTGTAGAGACACAGGCTGCGCCGAAGTTTCATTACTTGAACTTACTGAATGGACTGGAACACGAATGCACACTAAGAAGGGTGAATCCAAGAAGAGAGATCAGTGTTGTTCAGGATGAACAACACGTTGAAGCAAGAT